CCCCCCCCCCTTGGGCGCATGTGGGAGGCAACCAATCGATGTGTCTCTGTCACACGGATGTTTCCCTTTCCTCTCTTTCTCTCTCTCCCCCTTCCCCCTCCCTTCCACTTTCTCTTTAAAAAAAAAAGGAAAAACATATCCTCACTCCTCGGGTGAGAATTAAAAAAAAAGGTTTCTGGACCTTTCAACTTGTTTCTCCATTCTGAAAATAGACCCTCAATTCCCAGGCTACCTCTCATCAGAAATCATCTCAAAGGTTTCCTCCTCTTGGAAGCCCTCACTGACGCTCCACGGTGGATTGATTCCCATGGTATCCTGTTTCTCCCATTGCAGCCCTGACCCCTCTACCCAGGCCTCCCCCATCCTTGCCCTGGGCTGTCACCATCTGGACTGTGGGCCTCCTGAGGACAGGTACCAAGGTTATCTCTGTCGCCAACTGTATGGTCACAGCAACACCTAGCAGAGGGCTAGAACAAGCAGGCACCCAGTGAAAGTTTGTTAAATGCCCAATGTGGCAGAAAGAAACACTGAGGGCAGGAATGAAACAGTGCCAAGTGCCCAGAAAGTTTAAACCAGTAGTGCCCCACCTGCACAAGTTTTCACCAAGGGGAGGGGGAGGCAGTTTTCTCCAGGATACCCCAGACCAGTTCTCACTGGTTGGAATTTGACAATCAAGTCATCCTGCTGTTTACAGAAACAGTGTAAGATTGGAATGGATTTTGTGAGTGGTGGAGGTGGGATGGGGGAGGCTGTTGCATGGGAGTTGGGAAGAGGCTGGAGGTAGGAAGAGAGGAGTGGCTCTCACTCAGGCTGGGAAAGGTGTCTCTGAGGAACAGCAGCAGGGACAGTAGATATCAGAGGGACATGATCAGGAGGGGACAATTCCTCCCTTTCCCCCTCCCAAACCTGTCCTTCCTCCAGGGTCCTCATCTCAGGAAGGCCCCATTGTAATCCGGTACCCAGGTTACTGCCCTGTTTCCTCCTGGATGCCCCCTTCCTCTCCCTCATGGAAGGTCCACTCAGCTCTGCCCACTCTCCCCCTTCTCAAGGTTTCTGCCTGGTCCCCCTGGGCTCCCAGCTTCCACTCTTGCCCCCCTCCCACCCACCTTCACACAGTAGCCAAGGGAACCTTTATAAAACCCAAACCTGGCTGTGCCCCCTCCCCACCTCTCCCCCTGCTCCAGTCCTTACATAAAACCATATAATAAAGCTTAAACTTTTTACAATGATGCTGTGCAACTTAGCATCCATGGAATGGCCTCTTGGGTTGACCACTCCTCACCTCTGAGAAAAGTACTATTAACTCCAGTTCATGTGCCCTCCAGCCTCTTGGCCTTTGCTCATGTGGTTCCTTCCGCCCAGAATGCCATCATGCCTTAGGACCTTCTCCTGGCTCATTTTTACCAAACCAGGCTTCAGGGGTGAACTCCCCTCTTCAACGGAGCCTTGTTTGCTCCCCAAGTGAGGTCAAGTATCCCCTCTGGGTTCCTACAGCCCTCTGTGTTTCCTCCATTAGAGCCCTGGCCACTGTGGGTTGTCACTATCAGACTGTGAGATCTGTGAAGGCAAGGTTCACGGCTACCTTGGTCACCACTGGGTCCTCAGAGTCACCAATAAATCCCCAGTACAGGGTGCAGTGCAGAACAATAAACTGAAATGAAGGAATACCAGAAAGTCTTACACACGGCAGACAGAGGCACTGAGATACCCAAAGGCAGAGTTGAACCTGCTAGTATAAAGAGAAGCTCTTGGCTCAAGATTTATTGCTCCCTTCCTTCATTCCACATTTTCCAGGATGCCATCCTCCTGGGCAGGGACAGAGCCCTAGTCATACTGGTGGGAAGGGTAGGTGCTGCGCCCGTCATACTCATCGGTGGTGAGGCAGCGAAGCATGAAGTGGCCCAGGTCATGTTTGGAGATGACCCTTGAGGGCCCTCGTCCATCCAGGGTCACTGTGTAGGCCCCAGTCAGTGGCTGGTCTCCTGTGAAGCAAACATAGAGGGGCCAGTAAAGATGTTTTTTCTTTGTCCCCCAACATGTCATCACTACAATGATGGCCCCAGGGGGCCTACAGTGTGCCCAGCCCAAATGATATAAGAGCCAATGATGTGTGAAACCCTTCCCATATGCAGGGCACTAATCTATACCCTTTACTTCATCTGACAAATCCTTATTGATGATCTATTGTGTGTTAGGTGCTGGGCACCCAGCAAGGGACAAAACAGACAGGCATCCCTGCTCTCAGCATGCAAACATTAGCTAGGTAAAGATAACTAATAAGAAAGTACAATCAACAATATCTTAGATGGGGAGAGATAAAGCAGAGAACGGGTTAGGAACTACTTATTAACTCTATTTTATAAATGGGGACACTGAATCTTGGAGAGAGGAAGTCACTTCTCAGTGGCAAAGGCTAGATTTGCTCTGAGTCTCTCCGTCTGGATGCTTTCCTATCTCTGGACCCCTCTGGGAGGACTGAGTGACATGTCCCAGGCATGGGTCTGCATTTTATAGGCAGTGGAAGAACACATTTTTCTGACCTTGTGAACATAGGGTTGGAGCGTCCTGATGCCAGGGGTATAAGTAGGTCTTTCTTAGACAGTGGACATAGCACATAGGCATGACCTGGCTGTTACAGGGCATCCACTGGCTGCATTATAATAATTTAAAAATAATACCTGCCAGTGACCAACTTAATTTAGGGATCAAAGGCAGCATACCAGTACAGGACAACCTGGAATTGTGTACAATAAGAAACACATATCCTTACCCTCATGGCACTCCTACCAAAAATGTTTAATCTGTGCCTGAGAACATAATCAGAAATCCAGAATGTGGGGAATTTAAAAGGACACCAGGCCTGGTTTGTGCTACAAGAAATAAACAAACAAAAAACATATGAAGGACTGTTCCAGATTTAAGGTAACATGGCAACTAACTACAATGTGTGATCCTGAATTGGACCCTGATTTTGGGGGTACACGGGGGATTGGAAAATATTTTTTGACAGTCAGAAAAATTTGAATATGCCATAGATACTAAATGGTATGATAGAGCTCACATTAATTTCCTTGGTTCAATAATGGTCCTGTGGCTCGTACACAAGTATTTTTCTTCTTGGGAGATGTCTATTGAGGTTCTACGGGTGAAGTGTGACAATGTCTGCAACTTACTCTCAAATGGTTCAGTCAAAAGTGCTGTTTTATATGTGTGTGTATATAAAACATTAGAGACGTGTAGATAATTGACAGTTAGCCAGTTAGATTTAGAAAGATAGGGCAAAATGTAAACAGGGCAAAATGTGAAAAACTGAACCTAAATAAAGAATTTTAAGTATTCATAAACACTTAATTCCTTTAACTTTTCTGGAGGTTTCAAAGTTTTCACATGCACACATACAAAAAAACTTTAAAAAGTACTCTGTGCTAAATAACTTTTATGCATGACCTCTCTGGGTATTTACTTTAAACCTAAAAGATTGAA